CATTCAGATTCCTATCAAGATATTTGCTATACATTTTTAAAATAAAAAATGACTTAATTGAATTTTATTGGTTTGTTTATTTACTGGTACTAAGGTTCACCCAGGGGCACTTTATCAGTGATCTACACCCCCAGCCCTTTTTATTTTTTATTTGGAGACAGGGTCTCACTAAGTTGCTGAGGCTGGCCTTGAACTTGTAATCCTCCTGTCTCAGCTTCTTGAGCCTTTGGAATTACAGGCATATGCCGTTGGGCCTGGTCAGTTTTATTTTTGGAGTTGGCATTTTTAAACATTTACTAAACAATTCTCAATAAGTTCCTAGTAATTTTCAAATTTGAATTGGTGAGGACAAGTCTCCCCAACCACATTCACTCCCTAACCTGGAAGGACTAGGGCAGTCAAGAAAAGGTGTGAGGGAAATGGATCGGGTGGGACCCACAGCCCAGCTCTGAAGCCACTCTCCTCCCAGCTTATGTAGACTAGGCCTGGGTGTTCTTAGCAACTGTCAGGAGTGGCTGCCATGCAGCATAATGCCCTGAACACAGACTTGCCTAATCCTGCCACAGGATGCCTGCTAACCGGGATTGTCCCATGCCAGCCATGACCCTGTTGGTCTTCAGGACTGCAACTAGTCATCGGATGCCTCCAGGCCTCTCAGCCTCCCAGCCCTCCTTATGAGACAACCTAGAGTCAGGTGTTCTCTGACTTTTTGAGCCAAAGAGCAAATTGATTGTGTTTGGGCGGCGTTGAAGATTGAAGAGGTTGCACACACCATCAGCCACCTTTGACTCCTGCCTTTCCCTCCCCATGGTCCAGCTGGCCAGTGGGCTGGGGAGGCTAATCATCTTAAAAGCAGGTTGGGCACATTGCTGGATGCCCACATCTATTCCAAGGAAAAATCAGGGTCCATCTCTCTTACCACACCTTGCTTCTCAGCACCTCCACCCAGCCCGGTCCCCACATCAGTGCAGGGGGATAGGGTGAGGTCAGAAAGGTTATTAGCATGCTTACTTCAAAGAGAAGAGTATGTGAAGCCAGTAAAAAGTTCTCATCCATGAGGAGATGTGAAATTTATGCAAAATATCACAGAGGTCCCTGCCCTGGGTGCTCTGTGCAAAGAAAACAGACCACCAGCAGAAGAAGTTCCTGGTTTTCACTCCATGTCCTGTGGCTGGCCTGACCCTTCCTGGGCTCTCCAGGGAGTCAGGGCCATGAGGTCAGAGATGCAGATGGTGACCCAGACCTGAGGCCCAGGGAAAGAATTTTCTTGTTTTCTTGTCCCAGAGGGCTTCCTCTTCCCCACTGAGACCGAAGCCACAGGAAATTAGGTCAAATAGCAGCAAGAGAGGGTGATTTCCATTAGAGAAAAGGGGGTTTCAGACAAAACTGAGGACTTTCTAGCACTCAGGTCACCTAGTCTGGAGCTTTGGTGGCTGTTTAAGAAGAAGTTCTGAGGCACACTTGAAGGAGCACTGGGACAGGAACTGAGGGTTCTGATTCTGGTTCTGGCACTGACTAGCCGTGTGACAAAGTCAACCTCCCAAGGACTCAGTTTCCTCCTGGAAAATGGAGAAAATATGTCCTGCTCTGCACACAGTGCTCAGGATGATGATCAAACAGGAAACAAAATGTGCACAGAGGTTCTCTGTGATCAAACAGAACAGATTTTACAAGCACTTTGAGTCACTCAGAGGAAAAGTGTTGTTAAAAACAGGCAGTAATAAATCTGGTAGCAGGAAGACGAGGCCACTCTGATTGCCTGACATCCTTGCTCGGCTCCCCGCTGGTTACCCTTTCTTTACCCATGACACTGGTTGTAGAAGATCAAGGAGAACATGACTCAACTAATTTTCACAACTAAGGTATTGGGTCAGTTTAAGCCAACTGCTTTCCACTCTGGATAGAATTGGTTGAGCTGAATTTTGAACAGAATTGAATTGTCAGGTAGAGCATCAGCTAGGAAGCCTTACCTGATACAGCCCCAGGGGAATAAAGAACCCTGGAACCTCTGGGTGAAGCCTAGGCTGACAGGGGCAGTATGGAAGAGACTGAAGGCCCAGCCCTAAAGCCATAATCACAATAGCTGTTGTTTTCAATATCATTAAAATAAGTTGAGTGCTTATTACAGGTCAGGTACTATGAGAAATTCTTTAAAATATTGCTCTTTTAAATTCAAAAACCCTGTAAATTACCTATTGCTATTTTACGTATGAAAACACTAGAGCTCAAACTGATTCCATTAGGTATGTAACCAGAGTCACACAGGTGAGAGAGCCAGCATTCAAACATAAACATGTTTGATCCCTGAAGCTGAGCTACTAGTCACTATGTTAGTGATCCCACCAGGACACAAGGTACTGGAATCACCACAGGGCCAGCTCTATCCCCAATTTCTGGGCCCCACGCCCCAGAGGGTTTGATTCAGTTGGCCTGGAGTTTCCACTCCTATCAAGTTCCCAGGTAATGCTGCTGTCAACAGCGCCAGGGAGCACCCTAGGTGGGGGAGTCTTAATGCTTTTCACGCAGCTAGGGGGCACTGCAGACGGAGAAGCCAGCAGGGCTGCTGGTGTATTCACAGTGGCAGAAAAACCCACCTGTCCTCAGCACCTTCCCTGCAGGCAAAATCCCTCATGTAGGAGCCTCACCCCACTTCGACAGCAAATACAGGGGCTTTCAGCTTTTTAGACAGTTGTTTTCCAGTTTGCTTTCAATTAGTTTCCCCATTAATCTATTCATTATTTTCTCAAAACCCTTACCCACCTCAGAACCTGGATCTGGAAGGATCTGCCATAGAATTGCAAAGTTGCAGCTGAATTCTCTCTTGGGTGCCAACAGAGCCTGATGCATGCATAGTAGGCATCCGTTATGACTCAGGCAAAGTATGCTGAGCTGTAAATACGGACAGGTCTATGAATCTGGCTAAAGGCTTTCTCAGAGGTGTCTTGCTGGCCTGCTTTCTAGCTGTCAATATCAAACTCATCCCACCATATGCTTGAATTTCTGCCTGTGCCTCCTATAGTGAATTGAATGTTCACATTCTAACCTTGAATAAAAAGTCATAGATAATAGGATCATAGTCAAAACCAACCCTGTGTAAAAAACAGTGGAGCAAGAGTTTTCTACTTTGCATTTTTCTGAAATTATAGTCTGACCTCAAGTAGCATAATTTTGCCATGGAAAGGTCAAGAAATGCCTTCAGCCTCTATATGGTCTTAAGACACACATGTATTTATGGAGAACTTTGTTCCTGGTTGCAGGTCTTCCTCATCACTCCTATCAGCAGAAAAGTTCAGGGTCATGGTGGGCAGAACATCCAATCCCCAGCTCACAGCTCTAATGATCTCATCACTGTTCACCTCCACCCCATTTTAGCTTTTACTCCATGGTCACACCTAGACCTTTTTATACCTGGAACTCGTCTACAAAAGAAATATGACTTCTCCTAGCATGGCAATCTCATTCTAATCTTCTGTTCTTCCCGATCTTTCACTTTTTTTTGCATGCCCTTCATGTCTTCTCAGACCTCATCCAATCACTCTGTCCATCATTCCTTTATTCCCTCACCTCCCTATCTATCGGCCTATCTTCATGATCCTGTGGACCTTCCCTAATTTCCTTGTGACAATTCCAACTCCTTTATGCCATTAATGTCATTTTTGGACTGACCTGGCCAACCCTCAACTCTGAATGATTTTAAGCCATCTGTTTCTCCAATCTTATGCTCAGATTTTGCTCAGTCTTACGCTCAGACTGTCATAGGCATGTGCAGATTGAGTTCATCACAAACGAACACAAGGTCTCTAAATCAGAGGGGTCTCAGTGCTATCTGGCAAGCCTTTTATGGGACTTTGGTCAGCAACTCAGTGCCAGGCTTTTAGCTACTACACAGAAAGTGTGGTGCAAAAGGCAGAGCCACCATCACCCCTATCCCAGGCTGTGTGGAACTCAGGGCCCTGTGCAGAGCTGCAAGTGCTTTGGGAGAGTATCTTTGTGCAATTCCAAACTACATACCTGTATTTGCTCTGCCTCTCTCAGTCTCCACAATAACTGTTCCAAAACTTTCCTATGGCCATCATTTCCACCAAATAATGTACCTTTATTTATTTATTATTTTTTCTTTTTATTTATTTTTTTGTAGTGCTGGGATTGAACCCATGTGTGGCCTCACACATGCTAGGCAAACATTCTACCACTGAGCTACATCCTCAGCCCCCATGTACCTCTCTATTTAATAAGAGAAGATAAAGATAAAGGGTGATCTTCAGAGATTTCTGGTCCCTCACCTTGACAAACCCTCCTGCTTGATAAACATTCTCCTGTCTTTTCTTTACTCTCAAAAGAAGTTTCTTTCTTGCTCATTAAGGCAAATATTTCCTCCTGTGTTTGCAATTCATCCCCAATCTCTCTCTTCCTCCCTTGATCATTCTCATTCCTTCACAGGATTTAAACATGTTCAAACCTCTTTCATTAGAATAAACACCCTCTGCCCACACTTACATTCTTTTTAGCCACAGCTCTATTCCTATTATCTTTTTTCAACCAACACAATACAATTAATATTATAACTTTTTTAAAAATTGAAAACAGAATAGTACCATGTATACTTATGTCCCAGATTCAAGATGTGCCACATGTCCATCCAGGGTCCTGGAGAGCTAGCTCTGCTCACTTCCCACTCTGTCCATAATCCCCTCATCACTCCAGTGAGGCTGTGCTTTCAAGTGTCTCCATTATCGGATGGCCAGATCCAGCAGACACTTTTCCATTTGCAGCTATGGACCGCTTCACCCTCTGACTTCCTCTCCTGCTTACGTGTCCCTCATTTTTTTCCTGCTTCTCAGTTTCCTCTATGGCTCTCTGAGCTCTGCTTGTTCCTTAAATATTCTATCTTTAGCTTCCTCTTGCCTCATTCTTCACTGAGACATCCCTGACACACTCCAGACTGGAGGAAAACACTGCTTTCCCATTTATAAGCGCCTTTCCCAAGGTATTATACTCACTTGGCTAAATATTGGCATGCCGCAATAGACTATGAATTCCCTAAGGTCAGAGAATCTTCTTAATGTATTGCCAGAATCCAGCTTGAAGTAAAGCCCAATAAATATCCATAGAAAGAGGAATGTATTCCAGGCCTTTAAGACCAAGGAGAGAGAACAGGTCTATCACCATGACCACAATTCACCACTGCTTGTTTACAGATTCCTCCAGCTTGGCTATGAGGAGGAACAAACAGAAACAACTCTTTATTGTCCCTGCTAATTAGGGCATGAGTAGGAAAAATTCCAGAGGCATCCAGAGCCTCCTTTAAGCCTCCCAAAATAGTAAAGCTATTCCTGCCAGAGGGGTGGATTTATGTTTCAGTTGCTTCCCAGTTTTCATTTACCAAGTCACAGAGGCCAAAGAGTCACCTTTAGGCTAGAAGGAGGATAACATTCTGAGCACAGAGATTTCCCACAAGTCTGTCATAAATTAATGGCATTGGTATCTCACCATATCAATTTTTTTCTTTTTTCTTTTTTTGTACTAGAGATTGAGATCAGAGGTACTTAACACTGAACCATATCCCAGGACCTATTTATTTTGAGACAGTGTCTTGCCAAATTTTGCTTAGGGCCTTGCTTAGTTGCTGAGGCTGGCCTTCAACAAGTAATACTCCTGCCTCAGCCTCCAGAGCCACTGAGATTACAGGCACCACCACACAGGACTCACCACATGAATTTTGAGACTAAGAGAACTCCCTTTGGCTGTGAGATTCACTCCTTGTTATTCCCAGATGTTGTGCAGGATCTCTGTTCAGTCCTGGGGTCAAAAAACTGGAGGCCAAATGGGAAGTTACCAAGTTGCAGCACACAGTGGAAAAACCGCCACTTAATTGAGTACCTATTGTGTGCCAGACACTGTAGCAGGCTCTCTTTGTAAATTTAATTGTCTAACCAGCCAGAAAAGCAGCTCTTACTCATAGAAGCATTGCCAACAACCTAAACCATCTTCATCCTCTATCCTTGATAGAGCTGGCCTGCTGTCTTCTAAAAGTGTTCTCATTGATATCATTTGGTTTGGTTTTTAGAGAGAGGCATGAAGCATCATTCCCCATTTATGAACAGAAAACTAAGCCCTAGACAGCATCTTGCCAAGGGTCACACATTGTAGAATCAGGCTTGGATCTCCCTGAACTCTTTTCAACATTTGGGATGCCTGAAAAGGGGTTTGACTCCCACTGCCACCTGGCTGTGTGGGCCCAGATCCTGCTCTGTGTGGAAGGTATGAGCCCTGAAATGACCTTTTTTTCTGCACTGACAGTCCCTGCAAGATACAAACTCTCTGAGCTGCAGTTTCTTCCTCTGTAAACCAGCTGGTGATACGTGCTCTGGCTACTTTGTGGAGTTTTGTGAGAATCAAATGCGGTTAGGTCAGTGAAGGCATTTTGAAAAGCACAACATGGAGACAGTGACCCCAAAGTGTTATTATTAGTAGGGACACAACATTCAGAGGAAAGCCCGATTTCTTTGCTTTAAAAAAAACTTAAGGTGACCTTTAAGCAAGAAGTCAGCTGGGTTCTCAGCTCACAGTCATTTAACACACTTCAATTCAGAGTCTTTGAGAGCAAAGAGAAATATTTGGAAACACAGTTCCAGAAATAGGCAAGCAGGAGAAACTGAAGCTCCCCTGGGAAGTGGGGCTGGGGACAGGAAGCCAGCCCAGACCTCCTCTGTCACCAGCTTCTCATCCCCAAATTCAGGAAATCCGTCCCACTCCTGGAGCCCTTTCCCACACTGGCTTCCCAGTTCCTCCCACAGGGGCGGCCGTTCTCCTCTGGCATCTTGTTTGGGGTGAAAGATGGAGGGGGGTCTATGGGCAGGAGGAGCCCTGTTTATTGGCCCTGCCTATGGGGAAAGTGGGAGGAAAGTGGGAGGAAAGTGGGAGAAGGTTCGTGAGCTGCGGGAGGGATCAGAAGGACTCTCCTATACTCGTTAGCTGTATTGGGCCCTATGCTGCGTGCTTGATGTATTTTATACACTGTGCACAAAGGGCTTATGAGGGAGATATCCCTATTTCTATTTCAGAAAAAGGAAACTGAGGCTCAGAGTTGGGCTGGGTGGAACTTGAGAACTCTCACAGAGCTGCAGAGCAGTGGGGCTGCATTCTAGGTGAGTCCACAATCGTGGCGTTCTGCTTCCTCTTGGGGTTTTCTCTCTGAACATTCATCACAAAGGTGTGCAGATCCAGTTCTGAGTGCAGAACATGACCTTGTGCTGTCCGTCAGCGGAGCTCAGCCAGCAGGCTCATGCTGTCCCTGCTCACACTCACCTCCTTCCAAGTTGTGAGTGCTCACCTCCTCCAGGAGTTGTTTCAGTGTGACTCTGCTTCACAATTATAAATGCCGAGAAGTCCAACATCTGCAATCGGTAAACTTGAGACCCAAGAGAACTGAAAGTTCCAGGCTTGGTCCAAAGGTCTGACAACCAGAAGAACCTATAGTGTACATTCCAGTTCAAGTCTGAGTCTGAAGGTAGGAAAAGACCAATGTCTGAGATTGAAGACAGGCAGAGAGAGAATTATTTCTTACTTAGTCTTTCGTTATATTTATTTAGTGGATGGGACGATCATGGTCCACATTGGGGAAGTCAGTTTGCTTTACTCTATAAATGTAAATGTTAATTTCGTCTGAAACACTCACAGACACACAAAAAATAATGGTTGAACCAAGCATCTTGGCACCTTATGGTCCAGTCAAGTTGGCACACAAAATTTGCCATGGCCACAAGGGAGAGAGGATGTTGGGAGGAGCTTTTTCGAGGGTGGTGAGGGGAGACATTTGAACAGTGACATCTGAATGGAGCCCTAATTGATAAGGAGGAGCCAGGCATGTGAAGTTCTGGGGAAGGAGGATCCCAATAGGAAAAGTAGAAAAATGCAAAGCTCTGCTTGTTTGAGGAGTATAAATAGGGACAGGAAAGCTGGAATGAACCTAGCAACAGGTAGTGGGTATAAGAAGAAGTGAGCAAGGAAAGCAAGGGTCAGATCACGTCCTGTGTTTCCTACCCCTGCCTCTTCGCTGTTTTGTCTCTGATAAATCCCGCAGGGCTTAGAAGATGCAGGCCTCACTGAGCCAGATGGGTAATTGGCTGACTTCCCAAAGGCCCGATTACTTATTTGTTCCCCCAAACAGAAATGACAGGTAATAGGGCTTTTCTGCTCACAAGACTTTAAAAAAAATCTTTATTTTTTTAGTTGTAGATACTTTTATTTGTTTATCTTTATGTGGTGCTGAGGCTCAAACCTAGTGCCTCCCACATGCTAGGTGAGTGCTTTACCAATGAGCCACAGTCCCAGCCCCATGCTCACAAGTCTTAATGTGAGATAATTCAATCCAAGTTTTATTAGGAGAAAGTTGAGGCTTATCCTGAATCCTAGGAGCCTTTCAGAGCATACTCAGCTGGACAATGGATCCCTCCATCTTCAGGACCTATAGGATGGAGTCCCTGAGAAACAAAGGGATTTAAAATAGCTGTAATATCTCTACTGGTAGAGATAAAGTGGCTTTCAAGCAAGAAGTGAAAGAGAAATCGGAAACTTCTATTAATATCTTTCACTTCTTTGAAATGGCTGTCCATTAAATCTGAGTTCTGGACTTATCTCTTCAATATTATCTTTTTGTCTTTTTTTTTTTTTTAAGAACATATGGCATAGCTACCCAACTCCCAAATACACCAAGCATGTTCACTTGCCTTTGCTCCTTCTGCATGGAATTCCCATAGAGCCTCCCTCCAGATGTTTACCACTCTGTCCCATCCCTGTACTCCACCTGGCAACCATTTACCCATCTTCTAAAACTCAGGTTGAGTATTACTGCCTCTGTGATGCTTTTTCTTACCCACCTGAAGGTAGGATTGATTTTTTTTCCCCTCCTTTAGCTACTTTAAAGCCTTAATTGGTTCTGCAAGGTGGGTGCTTAAGTTTCAACTTCAACATTATTAAATTTGGATGAATTAATAACCCTCTTGTCATAGGTTTTCTGTGGATACATAGACGTTGCATGTTGGGAGACAATTTTCCATTTCTTATTTGGAAACTCTTGTACTTTCTTCCTTTTGTTTCAGACATTCTTTTAAGATGTTTGTATAGCAAACAGCATTGAAGTTAGACATAGTGTCTCCCTCCAGAGCTGCTTGGTGGCCTTTATAAAATATTGGTTTTTCCCAGCTCAGGGTGCCTCTTCCTTCCATGCAACCCACGGCATGTGCCAGAGTCAACTTCCTGTCTTGCCTCACCCTGTTGGAATTGGGGCTTGGGGATTTGGCATGCACATCTGGTATTCTAGCTACCGCTAGTGTGAGTAAAATACTATCCTTCTTTTCTGACCTTCAAGACTTATTTCTTCTGTGGCAAGCTAACTTGTTAGTTGGTGGTTAGAAGTCTAATAGCTCAGACTTTTCACAGTCATTGACAGCAAGTGGTACTCACTAAATATTAATTTTCCTCTCTAACAATTCACAGCTGCCTCATTTTCCAAAACATTGCCCTGGACAGCAGGAGCCCAGGCCCAGGAAATTCCCCCACTGGGACTGAAAGCCAATTATTGACTCAAGTAGGAAAGCAAAAGCCAAATCTCTTGCTCTGGGTCTGGGGATTTTGGGTGCTATCTACCCTTCAGAGCCTTCTACCTTTTCATCAGACCAAGGATAAACTACCTGAAGCTACATCCTTGCTCAGCTCTTTCCCCTTTCCTGCCTGGCTCCCTCCCTTATGGATTTTACACAAGATTCCCTCATTAAAAGACATGGACCAAATTTGTGCATTAGACTCTGCTTCTAGGTAACCTGGCCTAAGACACACATGCCATTTCTTCCTAAAGATGCTTCAGAATATTCTGTGAAGGTTTCAGTCCTCAGCCTATCCTAGAAGTATAGAAGAATATGCAAGAGTGTATACAAAGTGTGCTTCATACCCCTGCTTTCAACAACTCTTTCAGCCAATCAGAGGCAGCTACTGCCCATGCACTACCCACCATTCTTAGGACTAAGACAGAATCCAAACTGAGCATTCTTGTCCTAGGCTTGAGTGCTCATTCTCTCCCAAGGCCCAGCCCTCAGACCCTGTAAGCATGGTGACCCTTTTTCCTCTAGGCAGTAGGTGTCTGATAAATTTCCCTCCAGCTCTCCTCAGCAGGCTGAGTCCAGAGTCCTGAATTTATTC